ACAAACCGCAAGTTCGTTCGTTCGCAGTACTCCAAAAGGTTAGGGGTGGGTAAAGGGATAGGGATGAACTCAATTAAGAACTCGTGAATCTTATATATGAAAATAAAAATTTTTCGAACTTAAAAATGTACTACGGTATCTCTCTGGGACCTCCATATCAAGTCAGGGGTGATCGGGCCCTTCTTTATTGTTGGGAGTGTGATACATACATACTCTATACTTATATATTTATTCATGAAAACTTACAGTATACAAGAGACGAGGAGCATGGAGGGGAGAGGGGGGAAGAGAAAGGGGGGAGGAGGAGGAGGAGGAGGAGGAGGACGAGGAGGAGGCAACCGCTGGTGCCAAGGTAGCGGAGCTCACTGCCGACTCCCGCTTCCAGGTCCAACCCCCAGAGTGATTTACGATGTTGCACTGCGTCTGGGATCTTGCATCCCGACAGAGGAAATATTTTATTTAACTTTACGAGGGTAGGTGAATATATTTGTACTACGATATTCAGGTACCGCAAAAACATCAAAGGATGCCGACAGGGGACCTGAATATCGCTATCATCATAGAAAAGATGATTCCTTGCTTTACCGTATCTGACTTCTTGGGAGGAGGCGGACTGCCTCCTCATGTAAATTGAGAGATCCCTCACTCAATCTCCTAGACGCTTGGACCACCTAAGATCATACTCGTTGTTTTTGGTACAGTAATCGCAATAAACACTGAACCATAAATCTTTCGTATCTCACATTTCTCATTGTCTTAAAGAGGCGCACCCTTCGCCCAGTAGTCTCAACACCCACGTACAATCGCTGTACAGATATGCTGACTCACCCTCACAATCTCAATAAAATATTTCCCTAACATGTTATATATTTTCTAAAAGCGGACGTTATAAGAATTCTACATATGCCCCTGTTCGTTTCCAAAGAAAAACGTTACAAGTGTTTATCCAGGAGAGTGGTCCACTTAAAAGCCTGGATTTCTTCGGATCGGATCTCACATCCACTACTGCGCCATATGTTATGGGTATTGTCAATAAACTGCATAGAATATCTTTGCCCAATTTGCAACAATCTTCTTTTGACTATGACTTTGTTAGACTCCTGCTACTCATTGGTTGATCTCATCCTTCTCCATATTTTGAGGACTCTAACTGAATTATATTGACAGTTTGGTATAACTGTGTGTCACCAACAATAGTTGTTGAGGAGACGAAATCGCAGTTTTTGTACAGCAAGGGACACCACAGAAGACACCGAGGTTTATCCAGTTACTTGTGACTCAACAACGTGCGAAAATACTTCCATAAAGACATACTACTTCCATGACACAATCTGCAATCTTTCTGCCAGA